TCTATAACTCTGCTTAAGGAGCAATTTAATATGTTAATAGCGGATCAGGTGGCAACTAATTTGAGGTATATGAAACATAATACATTTTGTAATGCAAATAAACCTGGTAGATGGTTGGCTTATCAATTACGCAAGAAACAGAAATCAAGGACTATAGATAAAATAATTTATAAAGGTAAAGAAGTGTATCAACAAAATTTGATTAAAAAGACTTTTTTAGATTTTTATTCAAAGTTATACGCTAGTGAAACTACAAATTTCAGACATAGAAAAATATTTACAGGAAGCACATTTTCCTAGACTTACGATTGACCAACGTGATGGGATTAATGGTTTAATTACTTCTGAAGAGATTATTTGTGCAATTAAACAATTGAAGGTTGGCAAGACTCCAGGTACTGATGGACTAACAGCAATTTATTATAAGATGCTATCTGAAGAAATGATAGAACCATTAAAGGAACTTTTCAATGACATTTTGTCGGGAGCAGAGCTACCTCCATCTTGGAGAAGGGCCTTTATATCATTGATTCCAAAGGAAGACCAGGATCTGTCCCAGCCTAGAAATTATAGGCCTATATCTCTTTTAAATACAGATTATAAGATTTTTGCAAAGATACTGGCAAATAGATTTATGCAGGTTTTGAAACAATTGATTCATACTGACCAATCTGGATTTATAATGGGAAGATATATGAAAAATAATGTAAGACAAATTGTTAATTTAATAGAGTATTTGGATAAGAACAACCAAATCCCTGCTGCTTTAATATTTATAGATGCTGAGAAAGCTTTTGATCAATTAGACTGGAAATTTTTATTGAAAGTCGTAGCGGAAATGAACTTTGGAGACAAATTTTTGTGTGCTCTCAAGGCCATATATCAGCAACAATCGGCACAAATTATAATTAATGGGGGATTAACAGATGTATTTAAAATAGAAAAAAGTACAAGACAGGGTTGTCCCTTATCCCCCTTGCTATTTGTATTAACAATGGAGATTTTACTTATTAAAATTCGAGTTTCATCTAGATTAAAAGGAATAAAAATAAGTAAGATTGAATATAGGCTGAGAGCTTTTACTGATGATTTGTTGTGACGTTATCCCACCCAACAGATTCGGTCAGAGACATGGTTGAAATTTTAGCACAGTATGGACAGGTCTCTGGTTTTAAAGTGAATAAGAATAAAACTAAAATATTATTGAAAAATATGTCTATGAAGGGAAACGACATTATAGCTGAAGCAACAGGTTATGAAGTAGTTAATAAGGTTAAGTATTTAGGAGTATATATCACAATATCTAATGGAAAATTGTATAAGAATAATTATGAACACTTACGGGTAAAAGTACAAAAAGATTTAAATGATTGGCAAAAATTACAACTATCGTTACTGGGGAGAATTTCAGTAGTAAAGATGAATGTTCTACCAAAAGTTTCTTTTTTTGTTTCAAATGATGCTATTTTAAAAAAAGGATGCTAATTTGGATGAGTGGCAGAAGGGTATCAATAAATTTATCTGGGGTGGGAAGAAATCAAGGGTAAAGTTTAAGATGTTACATTCAAGAAAGAGGTGGACTTAAAGCACCTAATTTGAAATTATATTATGATGCGGCCACTTTAACTATAGTAAGTGATTGGCTTAATTTAACAAATAAAAACATTCTTGCTCTTGAAGGTTGGGATTTATTATATGGTTGGCATGCCTATTTAATTTTTGATAAGAAAGTAGATCTGGTTTTTAAGTCACATTTTAAGAAATGCTTTACTTCGAGTCTGGAAGAAGTATTATTATAAGTTAAATTATAAAATACCTATTTGGGGGATTCCTGGACAATTCAGGGGATTTCTAAGGGGGTGAATTTTGATAATATTTCGTATAAAGAATTACTTATTTAGTGGGTACTGATTGGCAACTAAAGTCTTCAGATTTGTTAAGGCAAGAAAATATTTTACAATCATGGTTTCAATATTTGCAAATAGTGGAGAGGTGGACCTTAGATAAGAAAGTGGGAATCACTTTAGCAGATTAAAATTTGGTAATTCAGATTAAAGATCAGAAATATGCTCATATTAAAAGAATTTACAATGAGTTAATAAAATTGGATCCTCCACTAGATTTGTTATTGCTCAGATTTCCTAAGCCTCATTTCACTTCACATTCTAGGACAGTGGTTCTCAACCTGTGGGTCAGGACCCCATTTGGGGTCGAACAACCATTTCACGGGGGTTGCCAAACAAGGCTGTCCGCCATTTTTTCCCCCTTTTATTTGGCCATGCCCCTGGCACCTGGTGATGTATAAGTGGTTGGGGGTCACCACAACATGGGGAACTGTATTATGGGGTCGCAGCATTAGAAAGGTTGAGAACCACTGTTCTAGGATGTCTGACTCGAGGACAGTGACCACTCTGTCTGGGACGTTAAGCTTGTTTTTGTATAGTTCTTCTGTGTAGTTTTGCCACTTTTGCCTCTGTTAGGTCCCTGCCATTTTGGTTCTTTATCATGCCCATCTTTGCATGAAACATTCTCTTCATATCTCCAATTTTCTTGAAGAGCTCTCTGGTTCTCCCTATTCTATTGTTTTTTTTCTATTTCTATTTCTATTTCATTTAAGAAGGCATTCTTATCTCTTCTAGCTATTCTCTGGAATTCTGCATTCAATTGGCTATATCTTTCTCTTTCTCCCTTCCCTTTCGCTTCCCTTCTTTCCTCAGCTATTTGCAAAGCTTCCTCAGACAGCCATTTTGCTTTCTTGCATTTCTTTTTCTTTGGGTTGGTTTTAGTTGCTACCTCTTGTACAATGTTGCAAACCTCTGTCCATAGTTCTTCAGGCACTCTATCAGGTCTAATTCCTTAAATCTATTTGTCACCTCTACTGTATATTCATCAGGGATATGATTTAGTTCATACCTGAGTGGCCTAGTGCTTTTCTCTACTTTCTTCAATTTAAGCCTAAATTTTGCAACGAGAAGCATATTTTGCAATAATTAAGTTAATGGAATGTTGTGATATTAATAGTATTATAGAAGTCGTTAAAGGTGCAGCTTGCCTAGGGATATGAAGATATAGGAAAAAAAATAAGGACTAGCTTTCTGGATGATTTTGTAATGTTTTAATTTGAAATTATACATTAGTTAATAAAAAAAAGAATTGAGGCCTTTGAACTATGGTGCTGGAGAAGACTCCTGCGAGTCCCTTGGACTGCAAGGCGTTCAAACTGGTCAGTCCTAGAAGAGATCAACCCCGACTGCTCTTTAGAAGGCCAGATCCTGAAGTTGAAACTCAAGTACTTTGGCCACCTAATGAGAAGGAAGGATTCACTGGAGAAGAGCCTAATGCTGGGAAAGATTGAGGGCAATAGAAGAAGGGGACGACAGAGAATGAGATGGCTGGATGGAGTACCTGAGGCAGTAGGTGTGAATTTAAATGGACTCCAGAAGATGGTAGAAGACAGGAAGACCTAGAGGAACGTTGTCCATGGGGTCGCGATGGGTCGGACATGACTTCGCAATTAACAACAACAACAACAATAAAATATTAAATATTACTATTCAGCTACTATTGCCACAAATTATTTCTAAAAGTAGATTTGGTATAAAATCATTACATTGTGCAGTGGGAAGGCGGTATATACAAAAATTTTCAATTCTCAATTCAAGTGCATGACTGCTTTTCTTTCAGAGGGACTAATTCTTTTGTGCTGGTATATTTTATATGTTGATTTTTTTAATCTAAAGTTTGGTGATTATTATATACTTGGTATGGTCACCCAACTCACAACAAGTCTCCTGTTTGTGATTCAGGACAGCTACCATTATGTTAAAACAAATTTTAAAAAATCCAACAAAAATGAAATAAACAAAAGGAAAATACATTCTATAAACAATCACAAAACGGCTTCACACTTTGGCCCAGTGCCGGGGGGGGGAGGCAAAGAGTCAGGTTTTTCAAGGCCTTAAGAATGATAATTCAAATCTCAGGGAACATACTGGTATGAAAGGCAGGCACCACAGCAGAGAAGGCATTCTTCCTGGGTCTCATAAATGCTGTTGTTTCATATAGAGAACCCAGAACATTCCCTTCCTGTTGGATCTTATGAGACAAGTAGGGATAAGTCAACCTATAAAGTGCTTTATAGTAACCAGCACCTTGAATTGCACTTGCAAGCCTGTTGGAAGCCAGTGCAGCTCACAAAGTAGTGGTGATGCATAGGCATAGCATGGAGAAATAACACTCAATCCAGACTTAAAGATGGAAGGGCCACTAAAACCTATTAATCACCTCATCTTGCTACAGTTAGTTTGTTTTTTCTCATCTAGACTGGTCTCCAGACAAGTTTGAAGTATCATCTGGTGGAGATAGAGATGTGTAGTTGGACATCATTAACAATGTGATGGAACATACCCATGCCAACCTTATTCAGTGGATTCATGAACATGTTAAAAAGGAATGAAAGAGTAGAAAGCCCTGAAGAAACCACAAAGCCTCTATAATCAGTCCTCATCCCTCACCCCATCATCAGCTAGAACTAGAAAAGTAGTAGCAGTTGCCAAAAGAACTAAGCAATAGAATGATCCTTAACATCCTCTGAACGGACATATGCCCCAAGCCTACCAACTCAGATCTAGGAACAGTTTTATGGCAAAAAGAAACATTCTTGAGGGTACATAAGAACAACATTAAAAGAAAAGATGGAGGAAGCAGACCATTGAACAAGAAATAACATTAAAAGAGAATATGACTGAAGGATCTTACCTCTCTTACACTACTTGGAGGACCTTGATAGGTTGAGAGTTGGAATATCTAAATGTAAAACCAAAATGCTAAAGTGTATAACAGCACACTATATGAATGTGGAGAGATTAATTACTTTGCCCTATATTTTTAGAATTATGTAACCACTATCTTAAATTTAATTACCACTGTAGAATGGAATATATTACTAATATATGGCTGAACAGATAAGATGTTACTGACTAGTATAATATTTCCTTTAGGTAAATGGTGGCATTGAAAAAACACTAGAAAAAGAAGTTCTGCATTACGACTACCGTTTTTCATATTTTGATATCTTTGTAAGTATTTTGTATTTTTGTATGTTAACTATTAATAAAAATCCTTTTTGCTTGACTTACAATAATTTAAAAATAGCAAGAAATCTTAAAAAAAAGATAGTCACATAAAAAACTGATTTTCAACACTATAGACATAGAAACTCATATTGACGACTCTGTATTGCATTTTGTTAGCAATTTACCATTAAGATTTTGTTTTAAGTGAGCAAAATTTGGTATCTGACAAGTTTTCCACATCCTATGAAGCATCCCTCCCCCAGATTTCCAGTATTGAAATAATTAAAAATAAAAGTGAACAAATGTGGGAGAGATGAAATCTGAATCTCCTTGCATCTCCCATAGGTTTTCAGTTCTAGGAGATTTATATTATTTTAACAAGAATTTCTAAAAACTAGTTAATAAGTGAAACAAATTTATCTCTTGAGTCAATCTTGACTTCTGGAAACTTCATGGGAATATCTATGTAGGTTTTTTTTTGGAAAGTGCAAAAGTGGTTTGGCATTGCCTTCTTCCAGTCTAGCTACAACTGTATGATAATAAGGTTAAAGTGACTTCTTCCTTAAATTAGGTTGCTGAGATGAAATATACTTCAAGATTGAATTAAGAATGGACTTGAAATAATCAAGTGTGAATTTAAATAAAGGAAATTTTAATTCTGTTTGGTTCTCATATACCCACATAACATAAAAACCATCATTTTACGCATCTCTTTTGTGCCAGGATCTGATTGATGGATCAGAAGTTTTAGTTAGAAAAAGAACCCAACCTGAGCCTGTGGTACATGATTTGAGGGCAGAGAGCTAAGAAACCTGACAACTGACAAAAAAAGAAGCATTGGATCTAACATTAACAATGCTAAATGTATTTGATGTATCAACAAAGCTATTTGATTCAAGGAAATAATGGACTACAGACTAATGAAGTAAACAATCCCGGGAAGTAAATTGAGGAAGCAAATGTTGATGTACACTGGGGAAGATAAAAGTTGTAATACAATGCATGATGAAAGCTATTCCAAAATACATCATTAGTTATTAAAATATGCAAAATGTTTATGAGTTGGATAATTAAAATAGTTTATTTGTTAAATTTATTTGCTGCCTATCTTGCCCTGAGGCTACTCCTGGCGGCTAGTGTAATACAAAATAGTTTATGTGAATAAATAGTTTTAGAAATATTAGAATTTTTATTATACTTTTCTCCCAGATTTGAAGAAATTATGCTGTCAGTATTAATTCATATTTAATCACTGACAATTTTGAATACAAAATTGGATATGCTTGTATCAAAAAATCATGGACGAAACTTTTCAGAGGTTAGATTGTGAAGATATAAAAATAATTATGTTTTAAAGCAGTGGTTCTCAACCTTTTTAATGCCGCGACCCCCAACCGGTCGTAAGTCGAGGACTACTCAACTGGTCGTAAGTCAAGGACTACTCAACTGGTCGTAAGTCGAGGACTACTCAACTGGTGCAGCACCGTTTGCAGAATGGGACTTTTGCGGGCTCAGCAGGGCAGAGACAGCCTGGACAATTCCCATTGGCTTTTGAAAGCCAATAGAATTAGACTCTATTCAAGAGAGTCTATTCTATTGGCTTTCAAAAGCCAATAGAATAAAAGGGAGTAGCACAGCTAAGGAAAAGGGGAAAAAATGGCGGACTGCGTTGTTTGGCGACCCCCGTGAAATGATCGTTCGACCCCAAATGGGGTCCCGACCCACAGGTTGAGAACCACTGTTTTAAAGGCAAAACTTTTGCTTTAAGTTGTAAGGAGACAGCTAGTGTAGTAACTTGGCAAAACTGTGCCTTGGAAAAAAGGAGAATGGTGACATAAAATGATAAGAAGATGCTTTTATATAATCTTAGTTGCCTGAATTGTTACTTCATTTTTATTAATTTTCAAAGAAAACATTGCAGTGTCTTTTCTTTCTGCTCTTTTCTTTCCCTATTTTATTCCAAAGCTCCTGGCAGTTTTTCGATTCAAGATTTTGATACTTGCATATGCGCTGTGCAGACTACGGCACTGGTGGGCAATAGCAGTAAGTTGCAGATTGATCAAATGAATTTTGGAAAGAAGAAAAGAGTTCCTACATTGTTATGTAATGGATATGAAATGATATTACCCTTACGTTTACAATAGATAAAGCTAAAGGTTTCCTGTTGGGTAGTTATAATCATTATGTGTGATAAAATCTTTATTTACAGATAAAATACTTCAAGTTTACTTCCCAAATAAATAACCTGAATAGTCACAATCAAACTTCTGCAGAGCAATGAATTGTATAATTTAAAATCTTATGCGTATCTTAAACTATATCTCAAATAAAAAATTGTCTTATCAAAAAGTTGCTACAAAAATGTACATATTTAAGGAAATGAATATTTAACAAAGCACACAGAGCTTTTTGTTTTAATTAAAAATAATTCATAGAAAGTTTGATGGGTACAGTAATATTCAAATATTACATTATGTATTAATTCTAATTGAATTTTGATTATTCTACAAATCTTCAACTACTATTAGGATAGATAATGATATATAGAATAATTTATCTCTTGTTTACTTTTTTATTTTAATAATTAGAGCACTTGACTACATGATCTTTACATTTCAACAGATATAGAACTTTTTTCACTTAGTAGTTTAGGACTGAGGTAATTGGATTTTTTCTTTCTTTCACAAATGCTGCTGATGTTCTGCTTCCCACTCCTTCTCCTTAGATTTATTTCCCAACTTTAGTTCATATAGCTCAAGGTGGTAGACATAATGCTTCTATTTCTATTTCCTTATAGCAATAATTCGGGGGGGGGGGGTTGTATCTTTAAATGTACACTCAAAATCCACTGTAGTGAATAGGATTGTTAAGATGGAAAGGAAATTTTTCTGGCTACATTGTTGATTCATGTTTAAAAGCAGAGAAGTATGGGGTATTATTTTGATAACATTTGGCTGTTTATGTAAGTCCATATTTTTAGAAATTTTAAGATTGCTAGTTGCCAAAGCTTTATGAGAATTACTGTACCTGACTGATTGCCTGTTGATAATTGTGTATTTTGGTGAGAAACATCTTTATATGTTTGAATATATTCATATTTCTTTCAGTTTACAACTGCTGTAACCAGTGCCTTGTTATTAATAAAAGTAATTATTTCAAAGGTATGGATTATAATAGTGCATATGTATTTATATCATTTAAATCACATAACCGTTTTACTGTTTTTTTAATAACTTGTTTTTTTTCCCCCTTCCTCCTTGTTCCTCTTTAAGCTGTTATTTCAGGGTGCTTTTGGCTATGTGTTGCCTATCATCTCTTTCCTTCTTGCCTGGATAGAAACATGGTTCTTGGATTTCAAAGTTTTACCACAAGAAGCAGAAGAAGAAACCAGTAAGGCTTCTTTCTCCACTTTTTTGTGTAATGTATGCAGACAGAAGTCTTAAAGTACACAGTATTAGTATTAATGAGATGAAATTGTAATTTGAATGTAATATTAAAGTGAATTAAATCAGGGTACCATATTAAAAGTATGACTACTTATATTTGTTTTGTAAGATACAGTAATAAAGAAATATTACTCTGATTATTTGCCTTTAGGACTATTGCTAGTACAGGATGCCTCTGAACGAGCTGCCCTTATTCATCCTGGGCTCCTTTCCGATGGGCAATTTTATTCTCCTCCTGAATCTGAAGCAGGTAATTAAGATTTAGATCAAGCAGACTGGGGAGTACATTTGGAATTTTGAGAGTACATATTCATAAAGTATTTGTTGCCAGTTGCCTGTTTACAAAATGATTGTCTTAGGAATGTAATCACTCACAAAAACGCCACTTACAAGAAGGCAATTGATGGACTAGTTCTTCGCTGCCCCTTCTAATGCTGCCAGGGTATTCTGTACTGCCATAATAATTTTTCCTTTTTTCCAGGCCAAGTGAATGATTGGCACCAGATAAATATGTATTTCAGATATTCTTTTTTTTTTAATTGAAAATTTTTAAAATTTTACAAAAAAAAAAGTTCCCTCCCCCAAACCCTCCCAACTCACCCCAACCCTCCCCCAACCTTCTCAGAGTTGAATACAGGCTTAATTGAAATTTAAAAGAAAAAATTTTAAACACAAATAAACCATATACAAATTTGGTTACAATAATTAAACAAATCATAAAATACTTTAACACCAATACTTAAAAAACAGAAAGAGAAAAAAAAAGAAACAATAAGAAGGAAAAAAAAGAAAAGAAAAAAAAGAAATTAGAAAGAGAAAAAAAATATCTAAAAAATATCTTAAACTTTAAATATAAATTATTCAAAAGCTAAATAATATTTTTTATATCATACTTATATTGTATAAAATTTATCCATCTTTTCCATACCAAAAGGTACTTCTCTTGCGATTGATCTTTCAAAAAAGCCGAAATCTTTGCCATTTCCGCTAAATAGGAAACTTTAAAAAACCATTCTTGCAAAGTAGGCAAAGATTCCTTCTTCCAACATTGCCCTACTAACAACCTAGCCGCTGTAATTAAATTTAACATTAATATAGTTTCTTTACTGTCACAGTTCGGAAACAATACCCAACAAAAACAATTGTGGAGTAAATTTTATCCTTCTTTTAAAAATTCTTTGAATATTCCACCATATCTTAATCCAAAAAGCTTTTATATTTTTGCATAACCACCAAATATGATAATAAGTAGCATCCAAGCAACCACATCTCCAACATTTAGGCTGCAAGTTTGAATACATACGAGACATTTTTTGTGGATCAAGGTGCCATCTATAAAACATTTTATAAAAGTTTTCCCGTAAGTTTTGGGCTTGTGTAAATTTAACATTCCTCACCCAAATAATCTCCCAAGTATCTAATGGAACCGATTCATTAAAGTTTTGTGCCCATTTAACCATACAATCTTTAACTAGTTCTACTTCTGAATCCAGTTCCACTAACACCCCATAAATTCTTTTGATATGGGTTCGTCTTTGATCTTTTATTTGTTTTAACAAATTCTCATCCTCTCTAAGCAAACCCACCTTACAATCTATCTTCCACCTTTCCAATAATTGTCTATACTGAAACCATGAAAAAATAATATTTTCTTGTATTAAGTCTTCCATGGATTTTAAGTGCCAATTTTTACCATCCCATCTAAGTAATTGTATATAAGAAATACTATCCATCTTAACTCCTCTCCTTATCCCTTCTATCGCATGCCATGGAATAGCCCATAATGGGATTCTTGAATCACTTCTATAATATTTCTTCCAAACCCAAAGTAAAGAAGTTCTTAAAATATGAGACTTAAAAACCCTGTCAACCTTCTTATTAAAAATTAAATAGGCATGCCATCCAAAAAGTAAATCCCATCCCTCCAGGAGGAGTACATCTACGTTCGTTAAGTTAACCCAATCACTAATTAATGTTAACACCACAGCATCATAATACAATTTCAGATTCAGTACCTTGAGTCCACCTCTCTCACGAATATCTTGTATAATTTTAAGTTTTACTCTTGGTTTTTTCCCTGCCCAAATAAATTTGTTGATACCTTTCTGCCATTCATTTAAATTAACCTCATTCTTTAGAATAGGTATCATTTGAAATAAAAAGAGAAACTTTGGCAAAACATTCATTTTAATCGCTGCAATTCTCCCCAATAGGGACAATTGCAGCTTCTTCCAATTTCCCAAATCCTTTTGTATTTTAACCCACAGGTTTTCATAATTATTTTTATACAGTTTTGCATTAGAAGCAGATAAAATAACCCCCAGATATTTTACCTTATTAACAACCTCAAAATCTGTCAACCTAACTAGAATCTCCTTATCCAAATTAGTCGTATTTTTAAGCAATATTTTAGTCTTATTGTTATTAATTTTAAAACCTGAAACTTGTCCGTACTGATGTATCAGTTGTAACAGTTCAATTACAGAATAAGTTGGTTGAGATAAAGTAACAACCAAGTCATCTGCAAAAGCCCTTAATTTATATTCTTTTTTATTGACTTCTATTCCTTTTATTTTCTGTGATTCCCGAATTTTAATCAGCAAAATTTCCAAAGTTAAAACAAACAGCAATGGTGACAATGGACAACCCTGTCTAGTCCCCTTCTCAATTGAAAACACCTCTGACAAACCTCCATTAACTATAAGTTGTGCCGTTTGTTTTTGATAAATGGCACGAAGAGCTTGTAAAATTTTTTCTCCAAAATTCATTTCCTCAATTAATCTTAACATAAATTGCCAGTTTAACTGATCAAAAGCTTTTTCAGCATCTAAAAATACCAATCCTGCAGAAACTTGGTTGTTCTTATCCAAATATTCTATTAAATTAATAATTTGTCTAACATTATTCTTCATATACCTTCCAGTTATAAAACCCGTTTGATCCATGTGTATTAATTGTTTTAACACCCTCATAAGTCTATTAGCTAGAATTTTCGAAAAAATCTTATAATCTACATTCAAAAGAGATATGGGTCTATAATTCTTTGGTAATGTGAGATCTTGGTCTTCTTTTGGAATCAAAGATATGAAAGCTCTGCCCCATGACAAGGGGGTCTCTGAGCCCTGTAATATATTGTTAAAAAGTTCTCTTAAAGGTTGTTTCAACTCTTCTACCAAGGTTTTGTAATAAATAGATGTCAGTCCGCCAGTACCCGGTGCTTTACCTAATTTTAGTTCTTTAATTACTGTCTCAATTTCCTCGGTGGTAATCAAACCGTTAATTTCTTGTTTCTGATCTTCGGTTAATTTGGGGAAGTGAGCATCTTGTATGTGTTTATCTATATCTAAAGCCTGTACTTTCATTCCCATATATAATTTTTTATAATAGTGTAAAAAAGATTTCTTAATCAACTCCTTCTGATATACCACTTTACCATTATAATTTATTTTATCTATAGTCCTCAACCTCTGCTTCTTTCGCAATTGATAAGCCAACCATCTCCCTGGTTTGTTAGCATTGCAAAATGTATTATGTCTCATATGCAATAAGTTGGTTGCAGTTTGGTCAGCCATCAACATGTTAAATTGTGATTTAATCAATTTTATAGATTCTTTAATCTTCTCATCTGTAGGATTCACAATTAAGGCTTTTTCTTTTAATTTAATCTCATCTTCCAACTCCTTACATTTCTGCACCTGGTTCTGTCTATAAACCTTATTCATTTGTATCAAGACCCCCCGCATGTAATCTTTGCCTGCATCCCAAACCATTGGCATTGAAGTTCCCTTATACATATTTAAAGCAAAATATTCCTTTAATTGCTCCTTTAATTTCTGAACATTCTTTTCTTGTCTAAATAAATTTTCATTCATCCTCCAAGATCTCCTCTCCTCTTTTTCATTAACCAATTCCATCCAAACTGGACTATGATCCGTCAATGTTCTAGGTAAAATCTTAACGTTCTTTACCCTAAAGTATAAGTCCGTTGTAATAAAAAAAAAGTCAATTCTTGAGAAAGATTGGTGTCTATCCGAAAAAAAGGTGAAGTCTCTCTCCTCCAAATTATGTTCACGCCAATAGTCTCTCAACTCCCAGTCCTCTTTCAAATCAAAAAAAGCCTTAGGCAATTTAACCTTTTTAAAAGAAATAGAAGATCCTTTTTTATCTCTTTGTGTATCTAAAACGCCATTCCAGTCTCCCATTAATATAACAGATCTACAGTCCAGCGAAGTCAATTTTTGATGTAACAGTCTGTAAAATTGTTCCTGTTGTTGGTTTGGTGCATACAAACCTACTATAAGTACTTTCTTATCATACAGTCGCACTTCAATCATAACATATCTCCCTTGAGAATCAGAATCTACTAAACAAGCTGATAAATTTTGCTTAACATAAATAACTACACCCCCTTTTTTCCCAAGAGCAAAAGATGCAAAATGAGATCCCAGTCGGATGTTAACTAAATATTTTTGATCCTTAGAAATAATATGTGTTTCCTGCAAACAAATAATATTGTTATGTTGCTTTAAATAGTGAAATAGTTTCTTTCTCTTCTGAGGGGAATTGAGGCCATTAGCATTCCATGTCAGGAGCTTTACTATCTCCCTTGGCCATAAGCCTAGAGAAGACTGCTTGAAGATCTGCCATTGAAGAATGTACCGCAGAACTCTTGGGTCTTGCTCCTCCCACAGGCTCAGAAACAAATTCTTGTAAAACTTCTTTAACATCTTTCTTCTGTTGTTCCTTTTCCTTACGTCTGTGGGCTGCCCGAGTCATCCTTTGCTCTTTCATCCCTGCTTGTTGCAACCACTCAGCCTGTAATTTTCCAGCTTCCATCAATACTCCTTCTTCAGACTGCTGTTCTGCCTCCTTACCATCCAAAACTTTCATCATCATAGGTGGTGATGAGCGTGCTCCCAGGACCGACATATAAAAAACTCCTTTGCTTTAGAAACAGTATTAAGTCTGTAACGTGTCCCCGCATGACTCACCACTATGCCAAACGGAATCTCCCATCTGAATGGCATCAACCTTTTTTTAAGTTCATCAGCTAAGAAGGCAAGCTCTTTTCTTCTTCTTAAAATTTTAGATGGAATCTCCTTTAAAATTATAACATCTTGTGCAGCAATCTGAAACTTCTTATTGTAAAAAGCTTGTATAATTTCATTACGCAGAGATCTTTTCCCAAAATAAATTACCACATCTCTTGGCAAATTTCTTTGCTTTGCAATCCAGCAGTTCACTCTAAAT